CACTCCCACGTCTCTGCACATCTCTCCGTGGCAACACCTCTTCTGTCCTACTGTTGGGGCTGGGGGTCAGTTGGTAGCTCTACAACACCATCATGGGATGAGGAAACAGGGACTGGAAACAGAACTACAAGAAGAATAGACTTTATAGTCTCCATAAATGTTAAATGAGAGAGCATGTACAGATACACGTGTGAATATGACTGCCCCTTTATCCCAAGGCTCCACCTATTTTTGATTGCTGTCTTGGGGATGGTCTGTTGATTTTTTGAATCAAGTAGAAAAACTACATCCTTTTATGATTATTGTATTTATGTGTATGTGAAAATTAAAACCTGTTAACCTTGTGGAAAACATTTCTTGCAATGATTTATTAAATACTGTTGTGTAACAGAAAGGAATGTGATGAGCTCTTCTTGAATGGTAGGGTGAAGAGTAGAATTAGAATGATTGCTATTGGGATAATTGATTTTCCTATAAATTTAGCATGACTCTCATGTAATGGTTTATTACTGTTATTCTGGGTAAAAAGAAATTTCAAAATAAAGCGTATTTTCCTCTGCAGGTTATAAAGTCTGGTCTCATTCCTATTTCAAATTCTCTTGGCAAGTAATTAAATAATGACTTATATCACTCACTAGAGTGAAAATTGTTTTTTTCTGTACTCCATGCAAGGAGACAAAGATGTAATTATTACGCACAAATATGCAAGTGTGTCTGTGTGTTTAGTATATGTATGTGAACATGTGTGCACTTGTCTGTAGAGGCCAAAACAGTGTCATCAGAGGCATTTGTGAGCCTCTCGGTGTGCTTCTGGGAACTGAACCTGAGCCGTTGGCGAGAGAAGCAAGTGCTTTTTCTTTCTCTTTTCTTGCTCTCTTTTATTAAATGAAGCAAGTTTTTATTCCTGCTTACAGTTCACTATGGTGAGAAGTCACAGAGATAGGGCCTCAGCTTACTTTCTCCTTTTTATTCAGTCTAGACTCTGGCCACAGAATGGGGTCTTCACATTTGGGGTGAGTCTTCCTACCTCCGTTTACCTAATCTAGAAATTCCCTCACTAAGAAGCCCAGGGATTTCTCTCCCGGGTGATTTTAGATCTTGCCATGTTAACATGACCGTCCTGTCTTACTAGTTCTGCAGGCTATTCCTGTAGGGGTTTGGATCTGAACCGTCCCCCATAGAGTCATTTGGTTTCCAGACAGTGATACAATTTGGGAAAGTTATGGAAGCTGTGGGAAGGAGCCTTGTTGGGGGAAGTATATCACTATGGGCATGTTTGGAGGTTTATACTCTCGCTCCATTTCCTGCACTAGCCCCATCCTTCCTCTGTAGGGGTGAACCGTGATCTCTGTGCTTCTTGACTACATGCTGGCTTCGCACCTCCACTGTCATGCCTTTCCTGCTGAGACAGTGTCCCCTCTTGAACTGTGAGCTAATGTCAACCCTTCTTGCTCTAAGCAGCTTTCTGTCAGAGTGCTCTACTCAGCAACAAAAAATAAACCCACACCATCCATAATCACCAACAGCTGGAAAACTGCATTTCAATTAGTGCTTTTATTGAGCAAAATCTAGGCTGAAAATGCTTTAAATCACTGTCCCTGAGGCTAATTTTCTTCAGCAGCAAGTTTTCTGTAGTGGCCAAGTTCTCGCTGGTGTCTACTCTTCTTCCTTCATTCTTTTTCATAGACCCTAGTGCTGACAACATCGTTCATGATGCACTCCTAAAAGAAGAGAGATGTGTTAGAAGAGGTGATTGTTGACAGGTCAAATTCATCCTTTCCTCTTTCCCTAGACCAAGCCCTCAATTCAGGCTACAAAGGCAGTTGAGTAAACTTGGATGTAAAACAGCATGTAAAAATATAAACTTAGGGAACACTCACCACTACCATTTTTCCTTCCACAATTTTTCTTTTGATTGTTGTCTCTTTGCCAAGCCATTTTTGGACCTGGATCATTGACCCTTCTTCTAATGTCACAGTGCTCTATAAGTGCAGAGAAAGTGATTAGAAGGCATCACTCACTGCTTTCTATCTATTACAGCACTAGACATCTACCATTGAACTTCAAGTCTGAAAGTCTGTTCTTCATAATGCTTACCTTAGTTTCTGTTATGATTTAATAGTGTCCATCTAGAAGCCTCAAGAGACAACTAAATTCAAGTTCTCACAGACAAGAATCCATAAGCTATTTGACCTTTTGACCTTAATAATTGTTCTGTTCTATATGACCTTTCATATAATAACAAACAAGTCAGGAGAAGTGGAGGAGTGTGTGCAGATTACCAGGAAAGGTGGTACACATCTGTAACCCCAGCACTGAAGGGCCAGAAACATGATAATCCTAAATTGTTGGCCAGCCTAGGCTATACAGCAAGACCTTGTCTCAAACTTCAGCACAAAAGGACTAATATGAACATTTTACTCCATTAAACTATTTGAATAATTAGCAAAGGATTGACTTTTTGTATGCACAGATTTAAACAAGCCCACCCAGACTTAGTAATAAGTCAAACTCTGTTGAATGAGCCTCACCCAACCACCTATATTCCACAATGGTTGAACACAGAGATTTAACTCCAGCTTACCTTCACTTGCCGGTTGTCTGCCGTAGTCTCATCAAATTCTTCCCCTAGCTTGAAGGAGATCATTGTGTTCTTGAGAGGACTTTCTGTTTGGATGTTCACCTTCTCCCCATTGAGACTAATAGTAACACTTGGTTTCACTGAACCTGCCACATCCCACACTGCAAAATCTAGTCCTACGAGACAAAGAAAGACTCATACCTTGTTGACACACTCAGAAAGATGTGTAGACCACCATCCTTTCCCACTGAAATGCTGACTAAATCTTGACTTTACTTCTTTTGAGACAGAGTCTCATTATGTAATCCAGGTTGGCCTTGAGCTCAAGAGCCTCCTGTCTCCACCTCTGAGTACTGGACTCACAGGTGTGTGCCATCATGTCCAGCCACAGTTGTTTTATTTGATGTTCTAAGTCTCTAGATTAAGCCAAGTCCTTCCAAGATGCTGCTAGTAATTCTGACGTATTGAAAAGCTAAACTCAATTTCTCAAACTTTTGTGTTTTATGGGAAATGAGTATTTGCAGGATGGCTTTTAGGGTACCAAATGCTTGCATTTAACCTAGTGGAAACTTGCAAAGACAGTGCTGAAAGCACTTGTTTCAAAGCCTGGGGACGTTAAGTTGTCAAATAAGACTTTTACAGGAGGTAGACAGAAACTGACTCCTGCCTATGTATACATATTGAAGTTTGCTTCCCATTCAGACTATTGATATGATGCACCTCAGTGTAGGAAAAAAGATGTGTGGACTGTAAGAGTGAGATGCTCAAAACCTGTGCCCCCACCTGGACACTTCACAGCTTTTCTCCCTTTCATCTTTCTCTGGATGACCAGAGCCCTCCTTACACTTGCATTGGAAGAGTACATAAAGGCTTCAGAATGGCCACACAACACACTAAGACTTTAGTTGCTGCTCCTCCTTATTCCAAACTTAACCTGGCTCCTAGTCAATACAAGTGCTATTCCAGCTATAAACCCAAGTTCCCAGCCATTCCTCATCCATATCTTTCTACTTTTATATCTATATTTATGTATAAATAGATAATATATGATATAGAAACATGGATAGACAAATATAGGTAGATGTAGGCATATAAATAACCCATACATAGTATATTGATATTATATTAGATATATATTTTCTTTTCATAGGTCTTTCTATGTAGGCAGGCTAGCCTTGAACTGTCTTCCTGCCATAGGCTTGTGACCACTGGGATTGTAGATATCCAGGGCCATATACATTTCCAAGTTTCTTATATGCCTAAACACTTTGATTCAAAACAAATGTGCCTATCAATCCATGAAGAAATGGGGACTTTTTTATTTCTTCTGAGAAGTTAATACTGTCTGTGGAAGATAAACGAGTATTATATTTATAAGCATGTTAACTTATTGGGGGATAAAGCATTTTTGTTTCAATGCTTAGAAAGAGTAAATATGTTAGTAATAATGGTAAATTTCCATTGGTCATTCTAGGCAAAATGTAAAAAGTGAAGAAATCTGCTTTGCATATGTCTTATTTATAAAAGAAGTTGTTATATATAATGAAAAATGAACTAACTGTTGTTCTTTCAGAATTCATAGAAAGGTGTAGCTCTGACAGACAGGACTCATAACACGCTTGACTACAGAGCTTTAAATAGAAAGGTCAGACAGGACCCATACTTCTGAGAGACGGCTAATGAGACAGTAAGTCAGTAAAGAAAAACCATTCTATGTCTTGTCTCAAAAAGAAAACCTTCAAAATCATGCACTGAATAGCACTGACACATGTGTGGCCACTCTAGAAAAACTGACTCTAAATGCTATTAGTTGCTACAGTGCTTCTAAATTTATAACTAAGGTAAACCCCAGAAAAATTCAATCTATACACTCATTACAATGATTCTTTTACAGCAATTTGGGGTTTACCCAAAGCTGCTCAATGAAATGCCAGCTAAAGAGAAATGCTATCTTCTATCGGGAGATCTGCACGGTATTTCACACTGGAGGCCTGGGCTGGAACACATGGACTATAAACTGAGAGCTGCAAGCCTAGTTAGAATTTTTTAAATGCTAATTAATATTTGTTATAAAAATAAATAATAATAAATGTAATTACAAATATTGTCTCATATGAGTAGAACCTAGGGACACAAGGAAGAAAATCACAGAAGATATCATTGGGAGGTACAAAGCCAGCCCCAACACCAAAATCTCTTGCCACAAATTTCTGAGCCCCATAATGGTGTCTCTCACCCAGTTCTTTCATGTAGTCCTCGAAGTTTTTGCTGGAGACCAGTTTCCAGGTTCCTAAGAAGGGCTCAATCATCGTGGAAAGCTTTGTGGGAAGATAAGGCACTCACAACCGGTAGCCGAGGAAGTATGGGCACCTCTGTGCCTCCAGCAGCTTGTTTTAAAGACCATCTTCATCACGTGGCATTCCTGAAGTAACCAATGGGCTGCCAGGAGTCTGAGACTCCAGGCACCAGCATTTGACTCATGGTATTTACGTCCAAATTAAAAGACAGAAACCCAACCTGCAAAATTAAATTCAGCGAACCTCTTTTAAGGTCTAGCAAAGAGATTTACACCCAGGAGTCACCCGATAAATCTTACTTGCTGAATGGAGACAACTGTCAATGGAGGCCAGTCTTTGAACACTAAATGCTGACTTACCCTGAGGGAATATCTGACAAATGTCTGACGAACGCTGACTCGATGTTTTCCCAGCCCAAACAAGGACATCCTTGCTCGGTCTGCCTCAGCTATTTTTTGTTTGTGCAAGTCATGGTACTCAAACCTCTCCTTCATTAGGAGAACATCGTCCCTTCCCTTGCTTGCAGGGTTGATGTATTGATATTGTTAATGTAACTTAAAATGCCTCCAGTTGCTTGGAGTGAGGTCTAGGGTGTTATTAACAGTATCATTGTTGTCAATCAAGGATATTTGAGGACCAGAAAGAAGGTGGCAATTATTATTGAGTAGAGCTTTTACGAGGCATATGGTGGCATTGGTGCCTAGAAAACTCAGGATTCATAAACTCTGTCTCTGTCTCTCTCTCTCTTTCTTCTCTCTCCCTCCCTCACTCCTTCTCCCTCCTGTTAGGCCTCAGCCCCACAGGGTCTCTGAGTTGTTTGTCAGCTGATAGCCACAGGTGCATCCTGTTTTCTAGCCCTGACTTACTGCCCCCACATTGCCCCACTGACATCAACATCTAGCGCGAGGAAAATACGATCTCTTCCACCTGGGGTTTTTCTACTGTCCTGTAAGCCTGTATATAATCCTGCTCCCTCTCTCTCAGAGTGGCAGGGGAGGGGGACCTCTTAGCACTTGCAATAAAGACACACAGGCGTGGCACATACACACATGCATTCTCCTTGCAATGAAGGCGGCAGATGCATTCTCTTAGCACAAACGGTCGGACGTCTTGTCTTTCGTTTCCTGATACCTTGGACTTGTTCCGTCGCCCGTCCTCCTTCCCTGTCTGCCTGCCTCAGTCTGTCTTTGTCTCTCTCTGTGTATCTCTCTTTTGGAGACAGGATCTCCCTGGCCTCAAATTACCAGTCCTCTTGCTTACGCCTCCCAAGTGCTAGGACTACAGACATTCTTCATTATGGCTAGTTTGCAAACTCATTTTCATATTTAAAAATTGAGATGATGCAAGTAAATTTTGGGAAGTTTTTTAGCGGGGGGGGGGTATGTATGACGTCTACATTCTAAAAAGTAAAAAAGGACACCAGTAAATTAAATCTTTAAGTAATTCTTTCTTGATTTGTGTTTGCACCCCAAGCAATTGAAGTAGGTCAGAGGCCCCAAATTTTCTAAGAAACATTTGACTGACTGGATTCATATCACTGTTCTGAATTATGGCTGTGTTGGAAAACTGGAAACTTAAGTGATCAGAGACCAAAAAATGAGTATTGGCATTTTTATCTGCTCTGTGTCAAATAGCCCTTCTACCAAGAAATATCTATTCCTCTTTTATATGAAGCCATCTCTTTGATACAACGCAAGTAAGATATTGCTGTTTGAGCATCAGAGAGTAACGAAAGAATTGCTTTTGAAGAAAAGATATAAAGAACTAGGGAACATTATATTTTACCAATTGAGAAGTTACTGAGATCTCTGGGAAGAGCAGAAGGCAGCAGCAGTGCTGGAGTGGGTCAGGAAAGAGCGCCCTGATGATAGACAAGTGCTTCAAAGGGAGACCGTGTGCTCAGATACGTGTTCAGATACAGAGGGACTGCCAGAGCCTGCTTTACTGCTTCCAGCCGTTTTCCCTGAACTTGGAAGGCTGAGAGCATCCATCTATGTATATTGACTGTTGGGGAGGGGTAGTGGGCAACTGTTCCATCCTTGCTCTTCTGATATGGATTCAAAAGTGAGTGCTGTGGTCCCTTTTAGAACTCAGTAGTCCCATATAACAAATGGGAAAAGTCAAATGCCCAGCTCCTGTAGAATCCCCCACTCATGGGATGGACTCGGAGGGAGAGACTGCATTGATTTCTTCTGTGATATTACACTGCTGCATCCATTATGATACAAACCAGAATCTATTTCTGTTACATGAGGTCATAGTGCCATTGTCAATTGACAGTCTTATGTCTGAGATTTGCTACTTGATGGTTAAGCCTTTTATTACTGAAATGTCTTTGTAAATAACTTCATTAAATGGCTAATATGAATCTAGCCAACTACTTATAATGTGGGCAGCTGATTTCATGCACACATCTACCCACCTTCACAGACCCAACTCTAGCATGTAAAAATCTGGTTCAGAGCTATTCAATACCTATCATTCAGACCTTAGAATGAGATGTATTAGAGAACACAGTTTATAGCATTGCATTTCTCTCAGACATCTGCAAGCTACTGTAAAAATGAATCAAAAACAGGCAATACATCATACTCATTTGTATACTCCTAAGACAGTGCCTGCTGAAAAAAAAACACTCTAAATGTTAACTGAAAGATTTATGAATGAGTAACAGAAGAAATAAATGGCACTCCTTTCTAACTAGTGCTTCTCCTGATTAGTGTTAGCAGGAACTACAGAGTGTAAGAACATGGTACGTCTCTGGTACTAGGACAAGCCTTTCACTCTGATCCTCCCTGGATGGAATGGTAATTATTTTTGCATTGCTGTGGCCACAATACCAGACAGACACAACTTAAGCAAGTAATTGTTTATTTTGACTCTCAATCACAGAAGTTTTGGTCCACAAGGGGTAGGTGGAAGCATGGTAGAGCTCATATTGATAGGAGTACGAACCAGTGGCTCATCACATCTCAGAAGAACAGGAAGCAAATAATGGATGAGGAGGTCTTAGAAGTTGACATTAGCAATTCACAGAACCATCCCTAGTTACCTACTTCTACCAGCCAGGATGCACTTTCTGAAAATACACAGCCTCTCAAATAGCTGCAAAACAAGTTTTCGAAACATGAGCCCATGGAGGATATTTAAGAGTCAAACCAGAACTTTTGTCCATGTCTTCCAAAAGGCTCATGGCCATCCCATACTGAAAAATGCATTTAATCCAACTCCAGTAGATTCCAAAGCTTCAGCATGGTTCAGGATTCAAAAATCTAAAATTGATACAAACACTGAAAATGATTTTGCAGTGGATTATAGCTAAAAATTCATCTTCAGCCTTTGAATAGACTTTTTCCATTTCTTTGCAAGTCCTGGGATTTTTATTGTGGTTGATGTTGGAAGTTGGATATTTAAATCTAGTGTTGTGCTAAATATGGTGATCAGATTGCAGCAAAATCTTAGAAAATCCTTTTGATAAAAAGCACTGACTCACCACCTGTGTGTATCAGATGCCCAATGAGTGATTTACCACACCTGAAACTTGGCGTCTCTGTCTTCATGGTTTTTTTTTTTAACCTCCTTTACTTTGGGTTAGATTCCTATTCAGCTCAATGCATAGATGTATTAAAATTTTAGTGTCTGTCAAGATTTGCAGTGATATTCAGCTGTCAGTTTTCATAAAGTCCAGCTCTAGATCACCTGGTATAGTATCTAGAAGTGTTCAGTTATTGTTATCTGCTGTAGAACAGTCTTTCTGTACACTGTGAATATATGTCACTAGGATTGGTTTAATAAACTAACTAGTCAATAACTGAACAGGATAAAGGCAGGAAAAGCCAAACTGAGAATGATGGGGTGAAGAAGACCTGAGCCCGAGGAGTCTCCAGGAGATAAATGTGCCACATGGCAGAGAATAAATAAGGAATATGGATTAACTTAAAATGTAAGAGCTAGTTAGTAATAAGCCTGAGCTATTGGCCAAGCATTTAAAATTAACCTAAGTCTCTGTATGGTAGTTTGGAAGTGGCTCTGGGGATGGAAAAACTCAACCTCCAGTTAGAAGCTTAACATAACCTTGAGTTCTAAGAACAGTATTTCCTCTCAGATCTCTGTAGGATGAGACCACACCCTAATTAGGATTAATTGGGCAATGATAGAAAGTGAGGTTCCTTCCTAAACAGAGGCAATCACAGGGATCATTAAACTGTTCCCTCAACTGACAAGGACTTCACTAAAGCCGCCTTGCAGAACCAGTGGGTGAGCACCTTGACTAAGAGTGCTCTGTTATGTACAATGCTTGCCTTGCCTCAGTTTTCCTGTTTATGGATAAGGCTCAGATCTACACACTTGAGATGGACTGAGATGCTCAATATCCCCTGCCTTTACCAATGCAGTCATATTATCAAACCCTTTAACTGACTTCCCATAATTAGTTTTCCTTCTGATTTCTGGCTTGTGTGGCCAGTTCTCCTGTCGAGACTTGGCCCAGAATCAGGCCTTTGATCTAGGGCACTGGTAACAAGATTCTCTCCTCCATTCTTCCCCAGGATTTATTGGCATTTTTCCTGATTTGTTTCATTTCTATTGCTAAAGATCTGTGTCTCCCTAAGTCCATATTTCCTTAAGATCACTTCTGAATGTCTTAGTCTTAGGGACTGTTTTCCTACCTTGGACTTAAAGGAATAGGCTCTTTTAGTACCCTGGATTTCTTCAGCCTAAGAAGACAGGGTCTACAAGAGTAAAGGATGTGTGTGTGTGTGTGTGTGTGTGTGTGTGTGTGTGTGCTGTCATCTATGAATGACTGCAGTTGCAAGCATCAGTCAAAACACTTCCAGAGTCTGAGAGACATTTCAGTGGGTAAAGGCACTTTCTGTCAAGCATGAGGACCTGAGTTTGATCCTTAAGACCCACATGATGAAAATGAAACCTGATTCTTACAAGTTGTCCTATGACCTACACACACACACACACACACACACACACACACACACACACACACACACACGGGGAGAGAGAGAGAGAGAGAGAGAGAGAGAGAGAGAGAGAGAGAGAGAGAGAGAGAGAGAGAGAGAGAAACAGACAGTTGCACCTGGCCCACCCATTTCTCCGACCTTCCTCCATC